AAATAAGCATGAACTGTTTTCATTGTCAGCGAGGCTTCTCACACCTGTGTTGGTTACCTAGCATCAGTGGCCAAGAACTGGCTCTGCTCCAGTTCTGAAAGCGAAGTAATTTCTTCCGGACCTTTCAAGAGCTAGAACCAAGTTTCCTGTAGTGACAGCCATCAGGGACATTAGCGGCTTCCCGGCTCCTCCTCAAAGAAGACGGGAAATATGTGGGTCCTCTCAAAAGCTGTTGGGTGTCACCTACTCTACTTACTTCCCACGCTCTGCCCTTGTCTGCCAGCGCATCGCCCCTGTTCCGCTTGGTGTGAGTCTTCACACTGGAAACCTGGTCCTTGGTCTTAAAGAGATTTCTGGGCAAAAAGAATGACGTCCGCGGAGTTCATGTGAGCAGTGGGTGCGTCCTGTGAGCAGCTCTGCAGACTAGATAGAGCAGCTCTAGCCTGGCTCACGAGGTGGCAGGGAGTTCTCTGGGTGAGGGCTGCATCACAGCGGTTGACGGCTGTGATCAGTTTCGGCTTGGGAGCCCTGACTAAAGAGCACTTTCTTAGAGGACTCACGACCTACCACCCCTTTCTTTTGACGTTCAGTTTGTATAATGAGTTATGTCGGGTCTTGATCAGAACTGGCGCCGGTCCACAAAGCACCGAGATGGGCATCGCACTGAGGCATGCTTTTCAGATCCCACATAAACCTTGACAGGAGCTTAGTGGGGAACGCTGAGGGTTTCTAAGGAGAAAGAATAGCCTAAGCTTCGCACTTCCATCTGTGTGGCCAGAGTTACCTCAGAAAGGCAAGCAGAAGGATAAAGAGGGTGAGGAGAGGCTGTGGACTCTGCCAAGGGAAGACTGAATTACTCTCCCTAAACCCCACATGCCTTGTAAGGCACTGGTTGTAGACCCAAGCAGGTGCAGACCATTAGCACCGAGATGTCAGAATTCGAGTGTGGCTCTGTAGGTGAGCGCTTGCCTAGCACACGCCTGGTCCTGGGTTCAAACCCCAGCCTTTACACAAACATACACTGAAGATGGCAATTGTGCTTACCTGGCAGTCCTGTGTCCCGTGTCCCGTGTCCTGTGTCCCGTGTCCTCCACTCCCCACCCCCACTGTTTTATAAAAACTGTAGCACAAGAACCTGTATGTTCATCTGTAACCTGCTCCACATATAAACATTGTGGCAATAGGGTAGAAAGTCCTTCAACACCTGCTTGTTCACAGGCACAAAGGCCCTTACTAGGACTGCAAGCCGGTGACTTGTGGCTCGCTCTGCAGAACACACAGGGCTTTGTCCCCTGCACCGGCTGAGCCAGTCTCTCATCCCAGGTTTTCTGCATCCCAGGCCTGAGCACTGGCTGGCCTGGTTCAGAAGTGTTATCCTTACACACTGTGCCCGCAGGGCAAGCAGGAAGGAAGAACTTCAAGACTGGGAAGTGTGGGTTTGGAAGCAGCCAGACCAGGCTCAGCTTTAGGGTTACCCCACTCCCCCACTCGCGGGAGATAAATCTTAGTGACCTTTCCTGGGTGCCCGGCAACAACTGAAAAGCAGTCACAACTCGATCATGCCCTTGACCCCCAAGGGCCTCTGCACTTGAAAGACAAACAGCAGCTTTGTGGCGCAGAGCATCCTTTGAAAGCTCTAGGGGAAGAAAAAGCCTTTGCTTACCGGACTCAGACAGCCCAGCTTGTGCTGGGTTGCTGGAGTTCAAAGACGCCGCTTTTAATCCCAAACCGTTTTCATTCAGCTTAACTTTTTATTTCTTTCTGGGTGGCTAAACTGCAAACTTCTATTAATCTTCTGCCAAGTTGTTTTTCTTAAGAAGGTAGATATATTGCCCAATCCACAGCCGGGAGACTGTGGCTGTCAGGAATGCTGGCGGGACAGTTGCGTGGGGCTGCAGACAGGGAAGTAGGCCACCGCTTTCTCTGTGCAGCAGAGTGTGAGCTGTTTTCTCTCTGAAGCCGAGTGTGAGCTGCTGGGGGACAAATGGCAAGAGTGAATTTGGGAATCTGATCCCTGCAATCAGAGATCTCGGGGAAAGAAGCCTAAATATTTCTGCAGTGTTGAGTTTTGAGTTAGAAGAGAGTCAGAATGTCAGCAGCAGTGATGGATGCCATCTCGGTCACATATGGGCAGCTGGAGAGAAAGCTCAACCTCGGGAAGTGACGTTTAGCATTTAGGGACAACAGGAAAAAATACAGACACAGCCAAGGAATGAGTGGCTGCTGGAAGGGACGTTTTACCTGAATTCCTGCCCTTCCTTGTTAGAACAAAGAGACTTCTTAACATGACTCTCAAGCTTGTACACCACACACAATCTCCCCACTGTCTTCACACACACACACACACACTCACACACACACACACTCACTCACACACACACTCACACACACACACACACACGTGTGTTTCGCTTCTTTGCAGTATTAAGTTTCCAGAAGTAACGAGAGCCGATCATGTCAACAGACGTGATTTCCTTTCTTTGTAATGCGTGAGGTGGTTTGAAAAAGGTCTCACTATGTAGCTCTGGCTGTTCAGGAGCTCTCTGCGTAGACCAGGCCGGCCTTGAAGTCACAGAGATCCAAGCGCTGGATTAGAGGCATGTGCGCCCATGCGGGGCTGCATGCAGTGTCTTACAAGTCTTAAGTCCCCGAAGTGAGCGGCCTGGATCATGGTTTATGTGGCTGTCTGTCTCTGCCTCCCAAGTGCGGGTGGCTTTATGCTTTGTCGTTGTTTAGTTTTTGTTTTTCGAGACTGTTTCTTTCTGTAGCCCTGGCTGTCCTGGAACTCACTCTGTGGATCAGGCTGGCTCCACCTGCCTCTGCCTCCCGAGCGCTGGGATTAAAGGTGTGCGCCACCACCGCCCAGCCTGTCTTTACTCTTAATAGTTAGCACAGAGCAGTCCTCCAGCCATCTTTGACATATAATCTCTAGGGGAAAACATGGATTTTTTTTTTTTTAATAGTGATCCTTTCTCCTTTTGACGACTTGGTGTAACTTGTTCTCATGACTGCTTCCCTATGTTATCTGGGCCTTTGTTTTGATGTTAAAACAAGCTTAATTGACTTACACAGGGCAATCCCAGAGAATTGCAAATGTCCGAGCTAGTTAATGCTGCGCAGACTTTGCTTAATGTACAATCCTTTCCGGTTGGTACTATTGCATATGAAACATTAATTGGAAATCGACCGGCTACAAGAACGAATCACAGGATACACAAGGAAACCCACTTTAAGAGTTTTATTAACGGGGGCGGGGAGGGGAGAGTAATGAAGGCAAAGGTGAGAGAGAGAGGGTGAAGTGGGCATGTCTGCCTTTAAAGGCCAGCTGGCGCATGCCCACAGGGGCTTATGTAGCTATGGCGTGCGTAGATTACGTGACCACGCTGTGCGTAGATAAAATACAGCTTCAGGCACTGGGGTGACCAGGCAGTTTGCCTGAATGCCCATGGCGCATGCATGACTGTGGGACCCAGGAGCTAACAAAATCTAAGGTGCTGGAGAGACTGTTAAGTGGTTAAGAGCACTGGCTGCCCTTGCAGAGGACTCCCAGCAACCCACACGGTGGCTCACAGTGTCTGTAACTCCAGTTCCAGGGGATTCAACACCCTCTCCTGGCCCCTGAGGGCACCAGGTGCACGCGCGCGCACACACACAACACACACGCGCGCAATACATATTATACATACAGGCAAAACACTCAGATATGTAAAATCAAAATAATACTTTCAAACATGTTTACCGCTTAAGCGTGAGGATTTGAGTTCAAATCCCCAGCACCCACATGCCTGACTGTAGCCCCAGCACTGTGGGGAACAGAAACAAGAAGCTCACTGTGATTTTGCTACTGTTATGAATCGTAAGGGTCAGACTCACAGGTTGAGAACTACTGCTCTAAACTCACATGTGTGTGCACATGTGTGTGCCCCCAACATATGCACATATGCTACACATGCAAACACACACACATTAAACACGGAGACACAGAGAGTCCTAGAGAATAAGAGGTGATATTGATGGGGTACAGAGAAATTGATACCTGAATCCATCACAACCCTCTGACTGGCCACAAGTCCTCACCTTCATGGTAGGGGTAAGCAACAGATATACAGAACTATTTGGTTAAAAAAAAAAATGTTCTCATGAATATCCATATAAAAATGCCCAAACTAACCAGGTCGTGGTGGCGCATGTCCTTAATCCCAGCACTCAGGAGGCAGAGGCAGACAGATTTCTGTGAGTCCCAGCCCAGCCTGGTCTACTGGGCTAGTTCCAGGCCTGCCAAGGCTATACAAAGAAACCCTGTCTCAACAAAACAAAACAGAGAGACAGAGAAAGAGAGAGAAATGCCCAAACTAAGTCCGTTAATAAGCAGTGTTTTGCCACATTTGACGAATTGTGGAAAGGCGAGCAGAAGCACAGGAGGGTAGTCATGGAGAACTCTAGAACTGTAAACTTGGTCTTTATCCCAAAGACTCTGAACCATGTTATTATGTGGACCTACAGGCCTGTCAGGTGAATGCTTACCGAGCAAAAAGGGTTGAATTTGAAGGAAACCTAACGAGTGTTTAGGAAATCTTTCTCCTAAGAGGTGTCCCTAGAAAATGCAAGAATTGTGAGTCTTGGTCAAGCGTAGCTTGCATTGTTTTCCCCATCTCTCAGATACTTATACAAAAATCTAATGGAAACGTTTTGCTTCTCCGGTGGCTGTCTGAAAGCCACCCCAGATCTGGGGAAGAAGGCAGATACTGGACATCATAGTGATTTCAGGAGCTCTATGTATTGCTCCACCTATAAAATTACTTGTGCTTTATTATTCCATATTTAACAAAGATTTAGATCTGTGGCAACCAGCATATTCACCCCAAAGCAGTTCCTCCAAACGCTGAGAAGATGCGACCACACCCCTCGTCAGATCCGCTAAAACAAATAAAACATGTACTTCGATAGATACACTTCAGTAAATATCCCGGAACTAAACCCCACGTCTCTTCTCTCCCAAGCTTCCGCAGGTTCACTCGGTCCAACAGTGTGACCACCGCAGTGCAGGCTGACCTGGACTTCCATGACAATCTGGAAAATTCTCTGGAATCTATAGAGGACAATTCGTGTCCCGGCCCGATGGCCAGGCAGTTCTCCCGGGACGCCAGCACCTCCACGGTCAGCATCCAGGGTTCAGGAAACCATTACCACGCCTGCGCGGCCGACGATGACTTTGACACGGATTTTGACCCCTCCATCCTGCCTCCTCCGGACCCCTGGATTGACTCTATCACAGAAGACCCTCTGGAGGCCGTTCAAAGGTCCGTGTGCCACCGGGATGGCCACTGGTTCCTGAAGCTTCTCCAGGCAGAGCGGGACCGCATGGAAGGCTGGTGCCAGCAGATGGAGAGGGAAGAGCGGGAAAACAACCTCCCCGAGGACAGTAAGTACCGCCCGCCGAGGGTAGCTGTGGCTGTGGTGTGGGCGGTGCCGGTTTGTGTTTGTGGGCTTTCCTGTTTGCGCTCCCGCCGGCTCAACTTCTATAACCTTCTGTTTCACACCCCAAACCCAAACTCCCAGAAGAGCTGGGCAATCCCACTGAAAGACCAGAAACTGCCAGACTACTCAAGAAAAAAAGCCCTTAAGCAGATGCCACCTCCTCCAGCTCTAAGATCTGTGACTTCCTTCACAGAAACACATGGCAGTGGTCTTCACTCCCCCAGGATCCCCTCTTCCCCAGATGATCTTGGAATGTGTCTGATCCCAAGGGATTAAAAATAATTCTAACTAGCTGGGTAGTTAAAGGTGCACAACTTTAATTCCAGCACTCAGGAGGCAGGGGACAGGTGGACCTCTGTGAGTTCAAGAACAGCCTGGTCTATATAGAGTGAGTTCTAGGACAGCCAGGGCAATACAGAGAAACTCTGTGTCAAAAAACATCATCATCATCATCATCATCATCATCATAATAATAATTCTAACTAGTTTTAAGGTCTGCCTTAGTCAGGGTTACTTTTGCTACAATGAGACACCATGAGCAAAAGCAAGCTGGTGAGGAAAGGGATTATTTGGCTTACACTTACACTCCTCATCCTTGAAGGAAGTCAGGAACAGGAACTGAAGCAGGGCAGGAACCTGGAGACCAGAGTTGATGCAAAGGCCATGGAGGAGAGCTGCTTACTGGCTTGCTCAACCTGCTTTCTTATACAGCTCAGGATGGAACCACCCACAATGGGCCCCATCATTCACTAACTAAGAAAATGCCCTGCCTACAACCCACCTTAGGGGGCCATTTTCCTAGTTGAGGTTCCTGCCGCTCAGAGTGTTTTTACCTTGTGTCAAGTCAACAGCACTTGGGAGGCAGAAGTAGGAAGATCAGAAGTACACAGCTTTCTTTTGCTACTGAGCTCCAGGCTAGCCCCTGTCTCAAAAAAAACCAAACAGGCTAAAAGACGCAATAAGCAGGGTTTCTGTGGGCCTATACACTATTTTAATATTGCATGTTAATAAAACTGTACGGATTATTATTACCCAGCACACACATGTATACACACATTGTGACGGCTATTAGTATTAATTATCAACCTGACGAAATCTAGAACCAACTGGGAGGTGAGCCTGCAGGTACGACTGAGAGATTATCTTAATCGTGGTGATTGCAGTGGGGAAGAGCTGCCCACTGTGGATGGCACCATCTCCTAGGTAGGGGATCCTGAGATGCACACGAGGGAACAGTGAGTTGAGTACCAATCTGTAGCTATTTGTCATTGTTTTCTTTGCATTGGCGGGGCAGAGTGTGACCCCTGCTGCAAACTCCCCCGCTGCGACCTCAGACAGTGGACAGGGAGTTGAAACAAGCCCATTTTCTCTTACATTGCATTTGTAGTGGACTTTATCACAGAAACCGAAAAGAAACTAAGACATCTCTGCACCCTGTTGACTTGACACAAGGTAAAAAGGTGGCCCCCTAAGGTGGGTTGTAGGCAGGGCATTTTCACGTCTGGATGAGGGTGTCAGATGCGGGCAAAACGCCAACGTATATAAATTTTTTAAGAAGATTTTAAAGACTTCTTTATGAATTTTTATGTGTATGAATATTTTTGCCTTTGCATATGCCATTGTGCACCACATGTGTATCTGGTGCCCATAAAGGTCAGAAGAAAGCATCAGATCCCCAAAAATTAAGGCTGATTGATAACCTCCAAAGAGGTGCTGGGAACCAAACCCAGGTTCCCTGCAAAAGCAGTAGGTGCTTTTAGCTGCTGAGTCCTCTCTCCAGCCCTCTCGGGTCACTTCTGATGGACCGAAATTGTTGTATGATGTTTATTCTTTGGGCTTTTGGGGGGTCTATCCCCCAGCTCCCAGATAAATCACAGACAGAGACTTATTCTTAGTTATGAATGCCTGGCCTTAGCTTAGCTTGTTTCCAGCCATCTTTTCTTAGCTTATGTTATCCTGACTACCTTTTGCCTCTGGGTGTTTAGCTATTTCTGAATACTTTTCTTTGCCTCTTTCTCCGTGGCTTGTTGTGTAACCGGCCCCTGGTATCCTCCTCTCTTTGTTCCCGCCTTTACTTCTTGTTCCATCCTCTCAGATTTCTCCTTCTACACATTCTTTCTGCCTGCCAGCCCCGCCTATCCTTGCTCCTGCTTCACTGTTGGCCGTTCATCTCTTCATTAGGACCATTAAGTGTTTTTAGACAGCCACAGTAACACAGCTTCATAGAGTTAAATAATTGCAGCCAAACAAAGTCACACACCTGAAAATAATATTCCCCAAAATGTAATGAAACTTTTTTTTTTTACCAGTCTGTTGACACATCCAATTAGGTTACTATTCTCTATGTACAAAGTATCCTTTAGCGTAAACTGTGTAGCTGTGTAGGAAGCAGCTTTAGGCCAAACTTATCTCAGATGTACGCTAATAGAAAGCCACAACCTGGCCGACAGTGGTGGCACTCGGGAGGCAGAGGCAGGTGGATCTCTGTGAGTTCAAGGCCAGCCTGGTCTACAGAGGGAGTTCCAGAACTGGCTCCAAAGCTACAGAGAAATTTTGTCTCAAAAAACCTTAAACAAACAAACAATAAATAAACATCTTTAAAAACATTGAATTTATGCTGGGCCCTGGTGGTATACACCCTTGATCCCAGCACTCTGGAGTCACAGACAAGTATTCTCTCTATGAGTTCAAAACCAGCCTGGGCTACAAAAAGAATTTCAGGCCAGCCTTGTCTACATAGCAAAATCCAGACCAGCCAGGACTACAGAGTGAGTAATAGGTTTTTGTTTGTTTGTTTGTTTTGTTTTTTTTGTTTGTTTGTTTGTTTTGCCACACACCCTCCCCAAGTGGTAAGTTTCCCTACCTTCACAGTAAGCCAGGTCAAGCCAAATTGAAAAAGTGTAACAGGTTTATTGAGAGCAACTCCCAGGTAAGTTCTCTGATCCCAGAGATTGGGCCAGAAAAGTCCCATCCCCAAACTACAGCAGGGAGATTTTTTAGGTTGTACGTGAGGGATGATGGCATGTCTGCCACAAACTGGGTTTGTGTCCAAGTATGGTCTAAAGCTAAGCACTTGGGCATGGGTTTAGATGCCTGGCAACTTGGGGGTGGGGCTCCAATGGCTGCCAAGAATGCAGAATTGGGCTTTTTGGTGCCTATCTTTTGTTTAGAGACTCTCGGAGCAGGAATGGGAAGGGAGAAATGTTGTGATTAAATACATTCTCAAAACAGCCAAAAAAGAAAGAGAAATAAAAGGAAGGGCAGAAGGGAGGGAGAATGCAAGGAAGGAGAGAGTAAAACTATAGGTCATTGCCAAGTAATGCCTCTGTTTATTGTCCAAGATGAGTTTGCTGTTGGGGTGCACTGGGCATGGCTGCCAGGACTTTGGGGGTGCCTAACCACTCTCAGGCCTTCCAGCCTCTTTATGATAGTCTATGTTCTCATTTTCAGGATAAAAGCTTCATAAAGTTAGAAGTTATTCTTTTTTTTTTTTTTCTTTTTGGTTTTTCCAAGACCAGGTTTCTCTGTAGCTTTGTGGCCTGTCCTGGAACTCTTTCTGTAGACCAAGCTGGCCTCAAACTCACAGAGGTCCGCCCGCCTCTGCCTCCTGAGTGTGGGATTAAAGGTGTCTGCTACCACTGCCCAGTGGTTTTTGTTTGAGACAGTGTCTCTCTTTATAGCCAGGCTGCCCTTGAACTCACAGAGATCCAACTGCTTTTATCTCCCGAATGCTGGGATTAAAGATGAGCGCCATTACTTCCAGCAAGAAGAGTTTTGGTTTTTGCTTTTGTTTTTTTTTTTTTTTGTTTGTTTGTTTTGTTTTGTTTTGAGACAGGGTTTCTCTGTGTAACAGCTCTGGCTATCCTAGAACACGCTTTGTGGACCAGGCTGGCCTTGAACTCGGAGAGATCCGCTTGCCTCTGCCTCCTGAGTTCAGGAATTAAAGGTGTGCACCACCACAGCCCAGGAAGAAGCTATTCTTGTCTTACTCTCCTTTATCTAGACTCTCTGCTACATAAGATGGGGTCATTAAGTATACGTTTAAATCTTTGACATATTTAATCTTACAAAACTTTTTAAATTTTCATTTATTTACTTTATGCGTATGGGTGTTTTGTCTGCATATGTCTATGCACCATGTGCATGGCTGGTGCCCTCAGAAGCCAGAAGAGGGGGTTGAGTCCCCTAAGACTAGAGTTACAGATGGTTGTGAGCTGCCACGTAGGTGCCAGGACTCAAACCCAGGTTTTCTACAAGAACAGCCCACCCAGTGTTCTTAACTACTGAGCCATCTCTCCAGGCCCTGGTTTTTTAAGTTAGCAACACCTTTCTTCCTATTTGAGTAAAAAGTGCATAGTAAGTAGTACGTTAGTCGGGTCGGTTTGCTACAGCCCACTGTCTGCTTCCAGCATGGGACCTTCCTGACGCACTCTCGGGCTGTAGGAAGGCTGCAAGCTCGCCAGGCCTCATCTAGGAATCCACTAATTCTGTTCCTGAGAGTCCCACCCCCATGACCTAATCATCTTTTTCCTTCCTTCCTTCCTTCCTTCCTTCCTTCCTTCCTTCCTTCCTTCCCTCCCTCCCTCCCTCCCTCCCTCCCTCCCTCCCTCCCTCCCTCTCTCTCTTTCCTTCCTTTTTTTTTCTTTTGAGAGGTTTCTCTGTGTAGCCCTGGCTGTCCTGGAACTCCTTAGACCAGGCTGGCCTTGAACTCTGACGTCTTCCTGTTTCTGCCTCTAGCGTGCTGGGATCAATGGCGTGAGACACACCTGCTAACGTCTCTTCTAAGCTTGCTCCTCAGTGAAGAGTTTCAACATAGAATTTCGAAGGAATACAAACATTCAGATCGCAGCAAGTAACTAGCTGTTATTTTTGCCATAAAAGCATCAAGGATCATGCCTTGTTTGTACGATATGGGCTCCTCCGCCTAGGGGATAGGTTTGTCAG